ACATTTTTTACATTTAATTTGGCAGTGTTTATGCTCCTTTCTATTTACCTCACTAGGATTTGACTTCCATTTTTTAAAAGATGCCTTTTTATCTCTCACTGCTTCTTTTACATGGTTGTTAAGCTCTTTTTTAGTTCTTTTACTGTGTTTTTTTAATTTTAGGCATACATTTAAGTTGAGCCTCTATTATGGTGTCTTTGTAAGTATTATTATAATTTGTTTTATGGTAGCACCTAGATGCCCTAGTCATGGACCAAGACCACACTGTAATAGAGCCACAAACCAATCTTGAGCCTGAAGGGATGGGCCAAGGAAGGCAAGTGTTACCATCCCCAATCTTCTCTGGTCTAGGATAGGACACAGACCTCCCCTTTCTTCTTCAGGATAAGAAAATACAAGGAATAGCAGCTTCTTCCCCTGTACTCCCGAGGTACTTCATCTATGGCTTCTAGACAAAGCAGGAGGCAACGTTGGGTTCCCCCCCCACCCCCAGTATTCTTATGAGAAAGGGGCAGAGGTTGGAATTGGACAGAGTGGCCACAGGCAACTATGTCTGGCATCCATCCGTCTGTTGCTATGACAGCCCATATTCAATGGAATGGGGAAAAGTGACATCCAAAGGAAGGGTCAACTCTCCACTGGTGTGAATGTGGCATTCCACTCTCGTTTCAAACCTGTTGCCTCGTACCAAGTGTGGAGTGGCAGTTTGAAATATGAAGTTGGAGTGAGGCAGAGCTATGCACCTTCCTCCCAAAAAGGTCCAGCTGTTTTGGATCCTCATCTTGGGGGCTACTTTTTGTTTGTTTTGATTTTTCACAAACAGCAGATACTACCAATGAGCCTAGTGCTGGATGTAATAATCCTGGCCTTGGCACTAGCACCTGCTGCAGTTTTGACCAACAGGGCAATGTTAGGGCCTGCATATGTCACGAAGCAGCATAGAGTGCTGTCCTGGGGGGAAGAGACAGTCGACAAGAGGGCTGCTCAAGCTGGAGAAGGGGCTTGGAATCTGCCGCAGAATTGGCAATGGGAAGGCAGTTCAAGAAGAAGGAGGTAAAAAGAAACTGCACTGAGGCAAACAGGGGATTTGCTGAGGAAGCTGGGGAGAGGAAGTTGGACCATGAAAGGCAGTGTACAAGTAGCCTGGCCACAAGGGGCACAGAGCGTATGGCCAGTGAGGTAACCATTGAGACGCTGACAGAGGAATACAGTTTGGGTGCCTGGGAAGCTGTATGGCCCTCCAGCTGAGGAGCTGTTGTTCGCGGGTGCATCTGTTGGAAAGAGCTGCTGTCATTGTAGCATTGAAGTAATGGAGCATCAAAAGCCAGAGAGAGGAAAAGATGGGACAGCTGGGGTGAAGCTGGACTTTGCAATCAGGGAGAGGAGTCGTCAATTCCCTCTTGGGGTGACACAGTGTGTTGTAAAAAAAAAAACTTATTGTGATGGTAATTTAAAGTTTATTATTTTCCTGAGCAAGTATTTGATGCTACTTTACATTATTTATATTATATTCTATTATTTATATTCTATTACTGTTCCTGCCAAATTTCTGGGATTTTTCAGTTGGACAGTTTAAAATTTAAGGTAACCCTCCAGTGTGTTGGTTTGCCTCTGCTCACCTCACAGTAGGCATAGACTAGCTGAGGCCTGGGTCATTGCACTGGGTGCATAAAGTACTGTTCAAAACCCTCTTGTGGCACCACACAGTGCCTTTCTGCTTGTTTGGCTGTGGGCGGGGTACGGTGGTAGGCGTTTGCCGCAGTGACTTTGTGACTATTAGGATACTCTTGTTAATCGGAAGGGTGACTCTGCTTGGTATAGCTGAGCACAGGTTGTCAAACCTCTAAAGAGGTTTCTATATCCAGGGTCTCTGCAATTCTGGAAAGCAGCTCCTGGAAAGCCCTGAAGCTGTCCAGAGCTGATGTTGGCAGAGATGACAGCTTCATCTGGACACGAAGAGAGGGTGCCCCCATTCAGATGCACTCACCTCAACTCCCTGCTTCTGTTCTCCCAAGAAAGATGATAGCAACCTGACTATGGGTGCACAGGCAGACCTTAACCTCCTCTTTCTAGGTTGGGAAGAACCGCTCCCGGAGGCATGGCATGGGAGTCCCCAGCATGTCCATAGTGGTATGTTATATCGATATGGTTAGCTTGCTTGTGGTTGGCCAGTCTAGTGCCACCCATAGAGGGGTTGGAGGGACAAGCCTCTAGACCATTCTATAGAGCCTTCCCTGGTTTTCAGAGGGAAGGGTTTTCTATGAGATCAGCAAGCATGAGTGCCCTGGAGATAGGGATGATGAAGAAATGTCCTCAATGATTGGTGCCAACTTGTACAGCGATTTCAGTGCTGTGATGGGAGCATGCATTGGTGCCAACTGAGGCAGTGGTACCTAGGACATTGTCAGTACTGGTTCCTCTAATAAGGAGTCCGCAGGTTCCATTCACAACTGTGTTGCTGATGTCAGTACCAGTCCTATGGATGGTGTTAAGATCGGTACTGGGACATGTTTCTCCAGAGCCAAGCTTATGACTGAGAGAGGTTCACTAGCCTTTGCAATTGTAGAGAGCTTAGTAGTCTTGTCCCTGGAGGGCTGATCCTTGTCTCCACCTCTCCTTATGGAAGGACACTGAGTGGTTCCTGGATCCATGTCTGCCTCTGTGCTCCGACTTCCTTCGTCTCTTGGTGCTGGATTTGAAACCAGGGTTACAAACGCAGACGTCACTAGTGCGGAGTCTCTCTCTGGTATCAACTTCTTGTCCACAGTGGTTATAGGAGTGGTGCGCCAGCAAGTATGGGCACTATCAGAGGATGACTTCATGGGAGCCTGGTCCAATCTAGAGGAAGATCCTCTCTCTTCTGGAATGGAGATGATCCACATGGATTTCTCCAGCAGGTAAAACTTGAGGCAGGTATCATGGGATTTTCGTGTTCACACTGAGCACCGGCCAGGTATATGTATTTCCCTGAGGCAAAAAAGACCAGCTGTGGCTGACAGCTAACAGGATGAATCCATCACAGGATGGACAGGCCTTGTAGCCCAAAGCCTGCAAGTCTGCCATTACATGTGGACAGGGCACAAAACAAAAATGGATTTTTTGTTTTGTTTTTAAAATTATCAGAAATTCAAAATTGTTAACATAAGACAAAATACAGGATAGGTCTTGATCCAAAGAGAGCTCAGAGAAAAACTGTTACAGGGTAGGAGGCGAACTCAACAGCTTTCTCGCTGCCACAGATGGGAAGAGGAAACTGAGGAACGATTGTAGCCACTTTACCCTTTATGATCTCACAAGTGCACAGTGCATGTGCAACCCCTACAGATGCTGCTGTCCAAGAGATTCCGAGCTTGCATTGGGGGGGCTCCACACTCAGACCGGTGCTGAGCTGGTGTTCCAAGGGGAGCAGACTCAGCCCAGGGAGCAGCACCATCCCTGGGGTCCTTGGCAGGGAGCCCTGTGCCGCCCCTCGGTCACTGCACAGCCACCACAGAGACCGCCAGTGTCCCCCTGGGCCCTGCCCGCCTACCCCTCGGCCGGGCCCTTTCCAGCCCCTATCCCTTCTGCCTCTGCCCCTGCCTGGCCCTATCCCCACCTGCTCCTACCCTGGAGCCCCTGCCAACCCCTATCCCCACGTGCCCCTACCTGCCCCTAACCCCACCCCCTGCCTGCCACTATCCCCACCTGCTCCTACCCTATAGTCCCTACCAGCCCCTATACCCTAACCCCACATGCCCTTACCTTTCCCTAATCCCACCCCCCTGCCCCGACTCTCTGCCAGTCCCTATCTGCACCTGCTCCTACCCTTGAGCCCCTACTAACCCCTATCCCCACATGCCACCATCTGCCCCAACCCCATCTCCTGCCTGCCCCTACCCACCCCTATTGCTCCTACCCCTGAGCCCCTGCCAGCCCTAATTCCTACATGTCCCTACCCCTAACCCCATCTCCTGCCTGCTCCTATCCCCACCTGCTCCTACCCCAGAGCCCCTGCCAGCCCCTATACCCTATCCCCACATGCCCCTACCAGCCCCTACCCCAACCCCTGCCTGCCACTATCCCCACCTGTCCCTATTCCTGGGCCCTGCCTGCGCCTATCTCCACCGACTCCTATCCCATAGCCCCTACTAGCCCCTGTACCCTATCCCCACATGCCCCTGCCCCTACTCCCACCCCCCTGCCAGTCCCTATCCCCACATGCCACCACCTGCCCCTATCCATACCTGCTCCTACCCCAGAGCCCCTGCCAGCCTTTATCCCCACATGTCCCTACCCCAACCCCATCTCCTGCCTGCCCCTATCCCCACCTGCTCCTACTCCTGGGCCCCTGCCAGCGCCTATACCCAATCCCCACATGCCCCTGCCTGCCCCAACCCCACCTGTCCCTGCCCCCGCTCCCTGCCAGCCCCTATCCCCACCTGCCCCCGCCCCTGCCAGCCCCTATCGCCACCTGCCCCTGGGCCGACTCCCTGCCAGCCCCTATCGCCACCTGCCCCTACTCCCTGCCAGGCCCTAACCCCTGCCCCTGCCCCCGCTCCCTGCCAGCCCCTATCGCCACCTGCCCCTGGGCCGACTCCCTGCCAGCCCCTATCGCCACCTGCCCCTACTCCCTGCCAGGCCCTAACCCCTGCCCCTGCCAGCCCCTATCGCCACCTGCCCCTGGGCCAACTCCCTGCCAGCCCCTATCGCCACCTGCCCCTACTCCCTGCCAGGCCCTAACCCCTGCCCCTGCCCCTATCCCCACCTGCCCCCGCTCCCTGCCAGCCCCTATCGCCACCTGCCCCTGGGCCGACTCCCTGCCAGGCCCTAACCCTAACCCCTGGCCCTGCCCCCGCCCCTGGCCCTGTCCCTGTCCCTATCCCTGTCCCCACCTGCCCCTGGGCCGCTACCTGTCTCTACCCTCCCTGCCCCTCTCCCTGGGCCTGCCCCTGCCCACGTCACTCCATCGCTGGGCGCGACGTCACACTGCCGCGCGCCGCAGCCCCCGGCCGCTCTCTCACCTGCGCGAGGGCCCGCGCGGGCGGCCGGCTCCATGCTGGGGGGCGGGGGGGGGGGGCGCGTCGGCCCCAACGGCCACGCGTTGCTCGGCTCCCAGCTCCCGATTGGAGCGACCCGCTGCCCGTCAGGCTCAGCCGGGGCGGGGCTTAGCCCGGCCTCTGCGCCGGCTCGTAAAGGGGCCGACGCCCTCCCGGCAGCGGAGTGGGTCTGTCAGGCTCCGGGGGTTTCGGTGGGACCATGAACCCCCTGCCCCTCCCCCGAGCATCCGAGACCTCCGCCAAGTCCCTCCCCCTCCATTGCCCCTCCCCCACAGCACCCCAGAGACCCCAACACCCCTCCCCCACATTGCCCCTCCCCCACAGCACCCTGGAGACCCCAACACCCCTCCCCCACATTGCCCCTCCCCCACAGCACCCAGAGACCCCAACACCCCTCCCCCACATTGCCCCTCCCCCACAGCACCCCAGAGACCCCAACACCCCTCCCCCCACATTGCCCCTCCCCCACAGCACCCTGGAGACCCCAACACCCCTCCCCCACATTGCCCCTCCCCCACAGCACCCGGAGACCCCAACACCCCTCCCCCACATTGCCCCTCCCCCACAGCACCCGGAGACCCCAACACCCCTCCCCCCACATTGCCCCTCCCCCACAGCACCCGGAGACCCCAACACCCCCTCCCCCACATTGCCCCTCCCCCACAGCACCCGGAGACCCCAACACCGCTCCCCCACATTGCCCCTCCCCCACAGCACCCGGAGACCCCAACACCCATCCCCCACATTGCCCCTCCCCCACAGCACCCTGGAGACCCCAACACCCCTCCACCACATTGCCCCTCCCCCACAGCACCCTGGAGACCCCAACACCCCTCCCCCACATTGCCCTTCTCGCACAGCACCCCAGAGACCCCCAGCACCCCTCCTCCCCAGCATCCCAAAATGACCCTTCCCCCAACAGCCCCAAGACCACACACACTCTCCCTTCTACACCTCTGCCAGTTCCACTGCCCTGCACCCCCCCAACTCTCCTATACACCCCAACTTCCCCCCATGCACCCAACTCTCCTACCCCCGTCCCAGACCCTGTGCTCCATGAAGCTGCAGGCCAGCCCCCAGTAGGCAGCACGGGCCAGGACTCTTCCCAGGGCCTGTGTTGGCGTGGCCCTACAACCACGGGCCGTCCCCCTTATCCCAATGTGGGGTGTGCTGTTGCTTGGTGGATCCCCTATTCCCATGCGCAGGACATGCAGCAGAGGCCGGGAAAGAGGTTTTGGCCTCTGTGACCAGTTCAGGCCTTGTGGTTCATGCACACAGGGGAAGCAGGTCCTGCAGGGCTCCAACTCCTGTTCCCAAAGTGCCGTGATTTAAGTAAAGAGACACCGCCTTTCGATTTGTTCAATAATGTTCTTTATTCAGCTGCACCCTTGCAGCAGCAGCAGCAGCAGCTCCGGCCAGACTCTTATTTCTGACCATTATGAGGCAGGACGTTTGTATCTCAGGGCAGCAGAAACCCCAACAGCACATGGGAGCGGACATAAAGTCAATGTTTCTTGACTTTAGCAAAGCTTTTGACACGGTCTCCCACAGTATTCTTGTCAGCAAGTTAAGGAAGTATGGGCTGGATGAATGCACTACAAGGTGGGTAGAAAGCTGGCTAGATTGTCGGGCTCAACGGGTAGTTATCAATGGCTCCATGTCTAGTTGGCAGCCGGTATCAAGTGGAGTGCCCCAAGGGTCGGTCCTGGGGCCAGTTTTGTTCAATATCTTCATAAATCGAAGCAGGACCAATTCCCAGTTAAATCATCCCAGCCAGGGCTTTGTCAAGCCTGACCTTAAAAACCTCTAAGGAAGGAGATTCTACCACCTCCCTAGGTAACGCATTCCAGTGTTTCACCACCCTCTTAGTGAAAAAGTTTTTCCTAATATCCAATCTAAACCTCCCCCACTGCAGCTTGAGACCATTACTCCTCGTTCTGTCATCTGCTACCATTGAGAACAGTCTAGAGCCATCCTCTTTGGAACCCCCTTTCAGGTAGTTGAAAGCAGCTATCAAATCCCCCCTCATTCTTCTCTTCTGCAGGCTAAACAATCCCAGCTCCCTCAGCCTCTCCTCATAAGTCATGTGTTCCAGACCCCTAATCATTTTTGTTGCCCTTCGCTGGACTCTCTCCAATTTATCCACATCCTTCTTGAAGTGTGGGGCCCAAAACTGGACACAGTACTCCAGATGAGGCCTCACCAATGTCGAATAGAGGGGAACGATCACGTCCCTCGATCTGCTCGCTATGCCCCTACTTATACATCCCAAAATGCCATTGGCCTTCTTGGCAACAAGGGCACACTGCTGACTCATATCCAGCTTCTCGTCCACTGTCACCCCTAGGTCCTTTTCCGCAGAACTGCTGCCTAGCCATTCGGTCCCTAGTCTGTAGCTGTGCATTGGGTTCTTCCGTCCTAAGTGCAGGACCCTGCACTTATCCTTATTGAACCTCATCAGATTTCTTTTGGCCCAATCCTCCAATTTGTCTAGGTCCTTCTGTATCCTATCCCTCCCCTCCAGCGTATCTACCACTCCTCCCAGTTTAGTATCATCCGCAAATTTGCTGAGAGTGCAATCCACACCATCCTCCAGATCATTTATGAAGATATTGAACAAAACCGGCCCCAGGACCGACCCTTGGGGCACACCACTTGATACCGGCTGCCAACTAGACATGGAGCCATTGATCACTACCCGTTGAGCCCGACAATCTAGCCAGCTTTCTACCCACCTTATAGTGCATTCATCCAGCCCATACTTCCTTAACTTGCTGACAAGAATACTGTGGGAGACCGTGTCAAAAGCTTTGCTAAAGTCAAGAAACAATACATCCACTGCTTTCCCTTCATCCACAGAACCAGTAATCTCATCATAAAAGGCGATTAGATTAGTCAGGCATGACCTTCCCTTGGTGAATCCATGCTGGCTGTTCCTGATCACTTTCCTATCATGCAAGTGCTTCAGGATTGATTCTTTGAGGACCTGCTCCATGATTTTTCCGGGGACTGAGGTGAGGCTGACTGGCCTGTAGTTCCCAGGATCCTCCTTCTTCCCTTTTTTAAAGATTGGCACTACATTAGCCTTTTTCCAGTCATCCGGGACTTCCCCCGTTCGCCACGAGTTTTCAAAGATAATGGCCAATGGCTCTGCAATCACAGCCGCCAATTCCTTCAGCACTCTCGGATGCAACTCGTCCGGCCCCATGGACTTGTGCACGTCCAGCTTTTCTAAATAGTCCCTAACCACCTCTATCTCCACAGAGGGCTGGCCATCTCTTCCCCATTTTGCGATGCCCAGCGCAGCAGTCTGGGAGCTGACCTTGTTAGTGAAAACAGAGGCAAAAAAAGCATTGAGTACATTAGCTTTTTCCACATCCTCTGTCACTAGGTTGCCTCCCTCATTCAGTAAGGGGCCCACACTTTCCTTGGCTTTCTTCTTGTTGCCAACATACCTGAAGAAACCCTTCTTGTTACTCTTGACATCTCTGGCTAGCTGCAGCTCTAGGTGCGATTTGGCCCTCCTGATATCATTCCTACATGCCCGAGCAATATTTTTATACTCTTCCCTGGTCATATGTCCAACCTTCCACTTCTTGTAAGCCTCTTTTTTATGTTTAAGATCCGCTAGGATTTCACCATTAAGCCAAGCTGGTCGCCTGCCATATTTACTATTCTTTCGACTCATCGGGATGGTTTGTCCCTGTAACCTCAACAGGGATTCCTTGAAATACAGCCAGAAATACAGAAATACAGTCTATTGTTTGACTGTATGGTCTCTGTCTGGTTCTTTGATTGTTTCTGTCTGTTACACAATTAATTGTGCTAGGTGTAAATGAATTAAGGTGGTGGGGTAGGATTGGTTAGAGAATTTTGTTACACTATGTTAGGATCGGTTAGTATAACGATTGGTTAAGGTAGAGCTAAGCAGGACTCAAGTTTCACTATAGAAACTGGGGTCCAAAAGGAAGTTCTTGGGGAACCAACTCCAGGACACAGCCCCAAGAACAGAGCTGCCAGACCTCAACACTGCCAATGACACCGTGCAGAAACTGGAGTCCCCCAGATGGACCTGATCCTGACTGGCCATGAAGAAAAGTTCATCTGCCTTATTGGGAGTGGTGAGCACTGTATGTGTAGCATGTGCATTCTGTTTTGGTGATTGTTAATAAATAGAGGTTAAGACAGATATTACTGTGTAAGGCTCTTTCACTGGTAAAAGACCCCGTAAATCTGCAAAAGATTAAGCCCGGAGCCTGGAGGGAATGGGTGTTTGCCCGGAGGGAATGGGTGCCTAAATTGACAGGGTTACGTCGGAGCCCTAGCAACGGGGTAAGGGTGGGTGCCCTAGAGTGTAAGGTTATGCCTGAGCCCACAGAAGAGGAAGGGTGGGTGCCTAAATTTAGAGGGTTACACCTTGAGCCCTAGGAACTGGGTAAAGGTAGGTACCCCTAGAGTGTGTGAGTAACAGAGAATTTTGTGCGGGTAACAAGCTAATATCACACTGATCATTACTATTCTTGTGTGGTGTGTGCACCACAATTCAAAATTACAAACATAGTGGAAATTATGTTCTTAAAGTGAGTCTACTAGGCAGGGCTGAAGTTACCCCACCCTAGACAAAGAATTTTTGGTTCTGCTTCTGCCCCTTTGAAGGTACCTTTTAAGATACAGTAAGAGGCAATGGGAATGCATTTACATAAAAGGCAAACAAAACCATCAAGCTAACAAGGGGAGGAGATCACCAGTCAATTTCATGGCAGCAGTGGGAGACTACAGGAACAAATCATTTTGCATTTTAGCAAACACCAGCGAGAAAGAAACCAGTCTGGAACTTCCTTCACCCGGAGACTATGTCTCCTTCCTCACAGCTTCAATTAACTTTACTCTTGTGTAGGGGTAACCTTCCGAAGAATCCACTCCAAAGCTTCCCTGGAACCTAAAAGAGAGGGGCAAACCCCCACAATTATCTTTCACCTCAGACGACAAAGGAACTGAGCACTTTGTGGGGGTGATCAGCCATCTTGCTGGAGGTGTGGTA